GGGGGTCACCAGGGAGAGTGGGGTCTTTCCTTCAATCCCCCAGGCTGCAGGCAGCAGGATGCTAGGCCAGCTCAAGTGACAAGCCCCGGGGCTCAGCCGCTGCCCAGACAGGCCTAGATGCTCTGAGCGTGGTCAGAGCCTGGCCGGCCCCAAGCAGCTGCTCAGTCGGCCTCCGGGGGGCGTGCAGGGCCCGGTGGACAGACAGCTGAGCCTGCAGACCCTCTGATCCCCAGGAACGATGGAGGCAGCCAAGTGGAAGACCCCAGCCACGCGACATCTATGTCAGCTACAGGCAGAGCCAAACCTAGCATGAGCTGGCAAGGCCGACGGGAGGGGTGTCCCCCTCGGGGGCACGCATCCTGCCTCTTCGCTCAGGCCTCCTGGTCACCTCCAGGGTCAACAGCAGCAGAGCTCAGTTGCAGCCTCAGCTCCCGATGCCTCAGCCCGGCTAGAGCTCCAGGTGTGACCTGGCTTAGCAGAAGTCAGGAAAGGCGGCCCAGGAGACTCCAGCACATGCCAGACTCCTGAGAGGCTTTTGTCACCTGCTTCCTAGTGGCCTAGTCCTCCGAGGCCTGAGTGTGCCAGCAGAGTGCCACTAGCAATGCACCATGTGACTGGCTACTGTGGGGACACGGCCAGCGGTGCCAGCCTCCAGCCATCCTATGGCAGATAGCCTCGGCTGCTGGACAGGGTAACATGGCGATGGCAGGTGAGGCTGAGCCTTAAACTGCTCCAACCCCACCTAAACCCTGGGTTCTGCTCCTGTCCCCAAGTCCCTTCACAACAAGCAGGAAGGTCCACATGTCTCAGCCAGGCCATGTCCTGCACTGGGGACACTGGCCTTCGAGGTCCGGGCTGGGGGTGGGCTCTACGGGTTTGTGTCCACATGCCGAGACCAGCTCTCAGCTTTCCAGCGCCCCTCTCCCACGTCCCGAGGGTCCTTCCAGGGCACAGCTCCCCCAGGAGCAACTAGAGCCACGTGGAAGGAAGCAGAGGAAGCCTCCTGAGCCGTCTGAGTCTTCCTGCCACAGCTGCCAGCTGCCTCTGGAGAGGCTCTGACCAGTGCTCGTCTCACCCACCCATCCCGCATCCCAGATGCCGGACACCCCGGAGCCCCGGCAAGGCCCCACGGCAGGAGCCAGCCCAGCCTGTCAGAAGGAGGCCGAGAGCCTGTCTCAGGCTCCAGGAAGCCCCCCGGGAAAAATACGGTCCTGTCTCCAGCTGTCCCCACACCGGCCGAGTCACACGTGCGCGTGAACGCCGGCTTCGTCCGAGGCTCTGCTCCCTCAGTGGAGACAGACTTCAGGACAACCTGGACATGCATGTCCCAGAGGGTCTAGGGACGCCCAGCCACCCTCCGCCCGGGCTGCAGCGAAGACGCGGTAGGAGAGCGGGCCCTGGGCCCCGGGCGAAGGCTGTGTACAGCGCCACTGACCACCGCTGACTCAGGCTTTTTGAGTCTGCACTGCTCAAACACACCGGAAGCAGCAGGCTGAGGGAGCCCCGCTTGCCAGTCCGCCTCCCGTGAGCCTCGGCCAACGTGGCGCGCATGGAACAGCCACTGAACCTGTGGCGCCCAGCACGGCCCAGCGCGGTGCCCAGCGCGGCCCAGCAGGCGGCCTGGTGGACCAGCCCCTCCGCCTCCGCACAGGCAGGGGGTGGGCCCACTGGCGTGGCAGGGCCACCAGGATCACGGCAGCTCTGGGCCCCCTGGCCAGCCGGGCCCAGGTGGACTCACGTTTCTGCCAACATAGACTCAAACAGCACGAGATTTAGAAACAAAGATATAATGAAACATTTTTCTCAAAAGAGTGAGTTAAACACATACAAGTTGTAAATAATGGGGCTATTTTAAATAAATTGATCAAAAAACAAAAGTCAAGAATGTAAACTGCACGGCTGCTTGTCAGTTTCCCGGTCAGGCCCTGGAGCGAGGTCACAGCACGTCATCCGAAGGCTCACAGGTAAGACGGGCGAACGGATGTGAGGCAGGAAGACGCCATTAATCCAGGGGCCGCCACCCCTGAACTTGGCCGTGTCCTCCAGGGCAGCTTTCCCTGCTGTAACGCCCGGTCCCGTGTGACCTTCCAGGAAGGACTGCTCGCCAGCACGGACCCGGTGGGAGAAGGAACATGAGGCCCCACCCCGAGCCAGCCCAAGGTTTGGACCAAGAGCGAGAGAAGCTCCAACGCACACGGACCTGCCTCTTGGGTGGGGCCGCGGAGGGCTCCTGAGCCCGTGGACACGAGGAACTGAGAGGCGGCTCTGGGCGCAGGAACCTGGCGGGGAGAAGTTGGCCTGCAGGACAAGGGTGAAGGGCGAAAGCTCATGGTCACGGCGAGCAGACTCTCAACTCCTACCTCGCCACCAGGAGGAAGCTGCTTCGTTCTGAGTGAGCCAACACCGAAGCGCCAGGGCCAAACCCCATCCCCGGCCACGGCCCCCCTGGCAGGGCCAAGAACGCACGCACAGTGTTTGTGGGCATCGAGTTTTGTATTTTTAAGTGACCAAATCTAATAAAATGAAAAACGGGTTTACTAAAACAAGTCCAAGAGACGACACAGAACATAAGCGGTAAAAACCAAAGCGTGAGGCCCTCGTCTTCGACGCCGAGCTCCACGGCCCGCAGCAGCCCCGGGCGAGGACAGGCGCCCGACCTCGTGTCTGCTCCGCATCCGAACCACACACTTCGGTTTTGTTTTCCTCTTACAGGTTTTAAAAAGCTAACCCCGGGAGTCAGGCCGGTCCGTCTGCGCCCGGCGGCACGTCCAGCCAGCGTCAAGCCCGGGCCCGGCAGCCTCGCTTCCGACCGCCTCCGCCGGCCGTGCGCACAGCTCACTCCTGCGCTATGCTTCTCAGCACGTACTTGACCGTATAGGCGAAGGCGGCAAACCCAACTATAACAAACAAGTTCGCCAGGGCGCCGCCCAGGAGTCCGTGGTGCCGGTTGGCCTGCTGCAGGCCAGCGAGGTGTGGCCCGGCGCCCGGCGCGTGCCCGTTGAGGAGCGGGAGCCCGTTCTGGCCATGGTGCGCGTCGCCATCCGGAACCACGTCTGGGAGGGGGAGAGCCTGGGGTCTGCAGCCGCGCTCGTCCTGTGCTTTCTGCTTCTGTTTAATTTCCTAAGAGAAAAACGGCGAGGCGCGAGATGGAACAATCCCGCTCCCGCGAGACCACGGAGGGTCTTCCAATCTGCCATGAAGACTCTGCCCTGACACCCGCCCTTGGAGGAAGACGCCACTGTAACCTTTTTTGCAGACGTGGGGACCTAGTGACTTGCCAAAAGCAGTAAGCCTGGGCCTCACGGACTGGACCGGCAATGAGCCAGTCCCCAGAGACCCTGAATGACTGTGGCCTTGACCTCGTGTAGCCCGGCCTCCCCTGCTCCAGCCGCGAGACCAGGGAACCGTCCAGACCCTCACAGCAGGGACCTCCCTGCCACTTCTGGCCCACCCGGACCTTCAGTGGCTCGGCAGCCAGCTCCGCGCCCACTCTCCTGGACCTCTCCGCACCCACCCACGCCAGTGCCTGCAGTCCCAGCACCCGTGCAGGGACAGGTGCGCCTCCGTGCTTGACGTCCGTGGCACAGTGACACCAGGAGCGCACGCTCTTGTAGGAAAGACTCAGAATCCCACGTGTTTCTGACCCGGGAAGCCCAAGTGCCCACCAGGCTCTACTGCTCACCTCTGAGACTTCAGGAAACAGTTCGCAAAAGACTTTGTCTTTCAAATTAAATGCTAAACTTTGTGCAGCCAGTTGTCTTTTCTGGAAAGAAACAAAAGGGAAATATCAGCCCGCGACTAATTCTGATTCTTTAGAATCCTGAAAATGGATTCTTTTGTAGTCCGAGGTCCTGTCGACGCACCCAATCAGGCGGCTCTTCACCAGCTAACGTGCAGTCTCGTGAGGATTTAACTCATCACTCCATCACCGTCAACTAATGACAACACACCTGACCCCTACTTAAATAACAGAGAGATAAAAACTCATTAACCGGGTCCACGGCCACGCCACCCTGAACAAGCGTGATCTCGTCTGATCTCGGGAGCTAAGCAGGGTTGGGCCTGGTTAGTACTTGGATGGGAGACCGCCTACGAAGACCAAGTGTTGTAGGCGCAAAAAGTAAAAATAAGGGATTATAGGCTGACAAGCTCCTTGAAATCTGTGAGGTTAACCAAAGGTCGCCTCGCCTCAAAAAAAAAGAAAAAATGTTAACCGGGCAGACAAGCGCTGACCACAGGCAACACCCTGGCTATGCGAGGGGCTGAAAGAAGGACCCCGGGCCAGGGGTCCCTCCAGTGGTGCCTGGAGAGCAGGGACGTGGGCAGGGACGCGGGCAGAAGCCGCGGGTGCCCAGCACTCACCGTGAAGTCTGAGGTTTCTATGCTGCCCAGGGTGGGGCCCTTCTCCACCATGAAGCTCAGGAGCCCGGTCAGGATGGTGGACACAGACCAGGCCGGGTTCCACGTGTCTGGGTGGAAATCCGTGATGGAAAGACACAGCCTGCAAAACAGTGACCTGTCACCAGCGCACACGCTCGTCTGGGCTGTGACCCGCCCAACGCGCAGCAGCCCCTTACCTCGTGTTGCACTTGAACCTCCCGTTGGGGGTTATCATGTAAATGCTCGGAGGTTTGAAAGGGAATTCTCGGGGAAAGACTAGCTTTCCGTGGTAGTAGCCGCCTGTTGGGACAGAAGCAGCCTCGTCATGGCCCAGTCTCCTCCCCGGTACCTGCCCTGCAGGCTCCCACTGGCCCCGCCTGTGCCCCCGGCCACCCGTCCCTGGACACGTGTCCTGCTGGGGTCTCACCATGGCCTGAGGACCACCAAGCGGAGCAGGGCCCTGCCCCCCACGGCTACTGAGAGCGCAGCACCAGGTGAGACCCCGCCCGGGCTCCTCGCCACCCCTCACGCACCACAAGCGGTCAGCTGCGGGAAGCTCCCTCTCCTACGCTACCTGCTTCTCCTTCTCCACCAAACTACACCCAGCAGCAAGCGAACCCGCCACCATTTCTCCTGCCTTAAAACACCCAGAATCCACAGCCATCTGATCCCTGCCGCCGGCCCCTCCTGTGCACAGCCTGGCGCCGTCCACCCGACACGGTGCTTGCCCCCAACACAGTCCCTCGCACCTGACCCTGAGGTCAGCAGACATCCCCGTTGGGGTGTCTGACCACCTCCCAGGCATCCCGCCACTCCTGACCCTGTCCCCTCAAAGACCCACACCGGCTCGGCACCCTTCCTGTCCATGCAAAGCCTGCCTGGCTCCGTCTAACAGGCTCCGCTCACCACTAGCACTTCCTGGGGGGTGGTCTCAGCTAGCCTCACATGATGTGGGGAATACTGTGATGACCCTACACTAGGACCGCCACCTGGACTCCCCTCCAAACTCCAGACCGGTGCCTTGACCGTCCAGGCATCACCACCCCGAAAAGGCCCAAGACGGAACTTCCCCAAAACAGCAACTCCACCCTCTCAGGCGTCCAGACCGCAACCTGGGAGCCCAGCCCCCTACCCGCCACGTCACTGGACACTTTCGGCCCCGCCCTTCCATCCTCTGATGGCCTCGCTGCCTCCCCCACCCACCCGGTCCAGGTCCTGGCAGCCTGGGGCACCATGGAAAGGCAGCACTCGGGCCCACGACAACCCGGCCAAGCGACGCTGTGCGTGTGCGCGTGTGCGCGTGTGTGCATGTGCATGCGCCTACAGTGACCGGCAGGACCGCTGCCTCCAGCACCTGGGAGAGGTCCAGCACAAGGACGGGGGCGCACCGGCCCCGAGTCACCTCAGGGTCTGCTCTGACGCCGCTCCTGGGAGAGGCCACCACCCCCCTGGCTGGGCTGCAGCAAACCAGCCACCTCGCCCGAGTGCCATCACTGCCACTCTGCACTGTCAGTGGTGGAGGGAGCACGTGACCAAGTGTCACCTAGTAGGCCAGCTCGACAGGCAGACGAGTCCACCAGAGAGAGGCGCACACTGGAAACGGCGGTGAGAGCACGCGCACTTGAAGCCACTAAGGAAAGCCCAGACCCGACCAGAGCGGCCTGGCACGCTCGGAACCACGTCTCATCGGTGCCCAGTGGGAGGCAGCCTAGACAGCAAGGACGCGCTGTGGTGGGCGGCCACCTGCTGTGACTGCAGCCTGCAGACCCCTTGAGGACCTGCCGAAGACAGCAGAGTCACACTCCGCAGCGGCTCCTGAGCATGACGGGCCCGGGTTAGAACTCTGCCAGCGGAGACCAAAGACACCGGCTGGTCCCCGGGGACAGAGGCCCGGCTCAGCCCCGTGCACGCGGGGCCCAGGCAGGGGCGGCGGACGGGACCAACCAGGGAGCTGATGCCGAGCCATGAAAAAACAGACAACAGCACGCTGCGAGACACACGCCCTCAGCCGCTTACGTCGGACCAGATGCACGAATGTGCACGTCACTGTGCAGAGAGGAAATCTAGGGCACTGCACGATTGGCAGGAGCCCCAGGAGGTATCACCCCAAGAGGGAAGAGGCCAGGCAGGGGTGCCAGGAGGGTGAGCCCTAGCTCAGAGATCACACTGTAGCTCTGGGCTCCTGAGCGGATGTGTGAGTGCCCTGCCAACAGCCGCCACCCCTCCTCCTGAGCGCCCACAGAGACGAGCCCTGGGGACCAGGGGAGGAGTGTGTGGGCTGCACAGCGCTTCCCCCACGGTCCCGCCCTTGACCTCGGTCCTCAGTCCACGTGCACCTCCCCAGACACACGTCCTGACATCAGGCCCACTGGCTCCTCCCACTTGATTTTAAACTGTTAGCTATCCTAGATTCTTCGCTTGTTTGTGTAACTCTTAGAATAAATACTGGAGAACGAGTGTGTGTGCACCCAGGAGCAGCTTTGTTTCGGTTTTGCCGGCACTAGGGGAAACCCACAGATTGACCGAGGGAGCATTCTTTACCACACTCACGCCACAGGAAGCCAGCTCCGAAGCCGGGGCACTGCACCTGCGAGAGCCAGGAGCAGCACGGCGTGGGCCCAGGGTGAGAACCGAGTCAGTGGCCAAGAGCACCGAGCCAGGCAGCCGTGGACACGGGAGGGGCTGAGACCGGGAAAGAAGCTGGGAGGCCAGGGCCCACGGGGGCGGCGGGGAGGGCGAGGCCGAGCCCATGCCCAGAGCCCACACTAGCCCGGACCCAGATGGACAGGGCAGCTCCAAGGAGCCCTTGGAAATGCCAGTAAGAGCAGTCAGCAGAGGGTGGCCCTGAGCTGTGGCGGGGATGGGCAGCAGGTGCTGTGGGAAAGGGAGGGTGGGCAATGGGCCAAGCTTCTGGTCCCTGAAGGGACTGTGTACCCAGGAGGTCTACAGGCCTGATCCAGCAGAGAGGGACAGGAGGACAGGGCAGAAGCAAGCAGGGGCGGTGGGGCTGGGGCACTCGAGGTCTCCTGCAGCCCCAGCGTACCGCCCCCACCCAAGGGTCAGCTCATTGCCACCAGCAACAGTCCTGCCTACTCTTGGCGGTGGGGGCTCTAGTTACAAATTAACAACTTTTTGCACTGTATTTGAGAAATACTAAAACCACAAAGAATAAAAAACACACAAACACCAGGCACAAGGCCCCTCGCGAGGGAAAACGCTGCTGGCTCCTGGTGTCGCCTCTTCCAGCTGGCAGAAAACGGCACGCACTTACGTGCCTTCACGCGGGCTGTGTGCACCGTCCTGAACCGTCCTTCACCTGCCTGCCCACCACAAGGCCACCCTCGAGCTCACAGCCTGCCGCAGGGCATCCGGGAGGTCCCCGGTGTGTGACCTAGTAACACGTCCACCCTCCAGATCCGCCCAGAACCCAGCAGAACAGGGATCCTGGGCCACCGCAGTGACACACCTGCCACACTGCCTTCGAGAGCCAGCCTTCCTCACTGCCAGCCCCCGTCTGCTGCCCAGCAGTGGCCCTCAATCCTCTTCCTCCACAGGACTCGTTAGTGAAACCGTAAGCAAGAGCCACACGGATGTCCCCAGCTTCCCAAAGGCAGGACCCAGTGTCGAGGAAACTGGCTGGAGGCACGAGCCATGGCTGGGTCCTGGGCTTTGCCCACCCATGGCTGCTTGTCACCCAAAGCCCAGAGACCTGCTGACCGAAAGCGCCACGGCCCGCTCTGTCAACGACACCAGGGGAGCCTGGGGCACCACCAGAGCAGCGTCGGAGCAGCCAGGAGGGCGGAGGTGGCCGCTGGCCCAGGCCCCGTCGCACAGCCTCCCCAAGCCTCGGTGCCCACCACACGACGGACTCAGCAGAGCGCACACTCGGCCAACACCTCTCCTCCCTCGAGAGCACCCACACGCCTCCGGAAACAGGAGGGCCCAGCCATCTCAGCATCCACCTTGCTCTGATCCCACCGACGCGTCAGACTCAGCCCAACTCCAGGACCTATGGACGGCCCCCGACACAGCAGCAAAACCAAACGCGAGCAGACTCCCTGGGACTCGGAGAAACGTTAGGGGGCATCCCAATCAGCCAACCACTACGCACACTCCACGCCCGCACGGAAGGCGGTCGGCAGGGCCGCCCGCTCTGCCAGCACAGGGCAGACTCACCTTCGTAGGGCGTCATCTCAGGGCCTCGGACCACGTAGTGCCTGCGGGAAAGAGAGGGGTTAGCAGGCTTTGGGGACGCGGATCCTCCAGAATCGGGGCCCCTCCAAGGCCAGGGCTTTGCAGGGCCCAGCTGAACGCTCGCACACACTCGGTGCGCGAGGGTCAGCTCCTCGGGCCGCAGACACCCTGGTCACTTTCTCAGGGCCTCCGAGGCCACACCTCCCGAGGCCCCCACGATGCACGCCTGTCTGCACAAAGAGCAGGGTCACCCTCTACCACCAGCGTCCCAAGGCCTCAAAACCTCAACTCCACAAAACGATCTTGGTGTTTGTGGGTGCCCAAAGGTCACGCAGGAGACCAGATGGGCAGCAGCTGGTAACATGAGATGTCCTGGACGAGCCAGACACAGCCTCAGAGCAGCTGCCCTCCAGGAGCCACAGGGACAGCTATGGCTGTCACCACAGCCACACAGCAGTGGGAGCCCGAACCAGGAGGGCCCTGCGCCTCAGAGGGGCGGCCCCACCCATGGCCCTGCTCTCCACACAGGGGAGGATGGGGGGGGGGAGGAGGGGAGCGGAGGCGGCCTCGGCTCACCCCAGGAGACCAGGCTCAGCGGTGTTCAACCGCAAAGGCACAGACCAGAACGACCGCGCACTGTGGTGACCGTGCCTCCAACACCTCTTCCCACCAGGACACACACATGACACCTGCTGTCTGTTGATTTGTTTCATTCAAAACAAAACAAAATAAAACAAGAACCATGCAGCAGTGCCACATCAGCTGACCAGGAGCAGCCCCAGAGCTAAACACATGACACGTCCAGCAACGTGGCCTTCATTTGTTACTGCTCCAATTCCCGTGCCAATCTGAGGACGCTGAGAAGGGGCAGTGCGAGAGCTCAGCAGCACGGGGCGGCGGAGTGAGGCCCGGGCAGCACCCGGGCCCCCTCTCCTCTCAGCTGAGGGTGGAGCTCACCCAGTGGCCTGGCGCTCGGTCCTCAGCCTGCTTGGGGACCGCAGGTGCCAAGGAAACGTGCTTCCACAGAGGATCTGGAGGCCTGGCAGATGCCGGGTAGAGGTGCCTCTGTGACCGGCCCCACTGCAAGCGCTGGCCCTGACGGGCTCCCTGGCAGGGAGCGCCTCACATGTGGCCACAGCTCGCCGCGAGGGCCCGGGCACGCCCGCGTGAGTGCACAGGAACGGGGAGCTGTGCGACCTCCTGCGGACTCCCCCTCGCCGCCTCTGCTGTGCGGTGACCACGGAAAAGTCCCTGTGACAAACCTCAGTGGTGGGTCCCCCTAGCAAATGATCGGCTCTGGGGACCCATGTGGGGATGGGCTTCCCACCAACTGTGTCCTGGGGCCACGCTGGGTTTTGGGGTTTGGGGGCAGGGGCAGCCGTGCTGCAACTCTGACGATGCTCGCACGCCTCAGCCCGCCAGGGCTGGCCACCCCGCTCCTGCCAAGGAAGGTGCACACAGGACCCCTGAGTGCCTGTCCAATCTGCAGAACACTTCTGTTAACTCAGTTAAATCTCTTTCCTCTGGATTAAAAAAATTAAAGTGCTTTTAAAGATCAAAATGTAAACTACCCTTCAAAGGAAGGCGACGTGCTTCTTAGTGTCCCAGCCCTATTCCTCACGTCTCACAGAGCCCTGGGGAGGGCGGTATCTCTGGCAGCCGGCACCCTGTACACCCCTTAACATCGCGAGAAGCTAATCATGACGCGATGGTCACCGCACAGATGCACTCATGTCAGCCAGAGGGCTGTCGGGCACCCGCCCAGGCCAGTGCTGGGAGCTGGGGCACCAGCTGCCACCTCTCCAGGGCAGGGTAGGCTGCCTCCCAGTGCCGAGAGCAGAGAAGGGGGCTGCAAACGCTTCTCCTCCACAGCTGGAGACCCTGGCCCAGCCCTCCCCTAGGAAGGACACTCTCCAGCCCAACGTGCCTGGGTCAAGGGCCTGCTGTGTCCCCAAGGACAACCAGAGTGTCTGCAGGCCTCATCACGTGCACTGGCACCTGAGGCGGGCACAGCCGCCATGATGAGCGCGCTGGGCCCACCGGCCGGGACAGTGGGCGCTGGCCAGGGCAGGGCCGCGTGCGGACAGCAACCTCACCATTCCAGAATGTTGGAGGGGAGGGGCTCGGCACGGATGTAAGGCACCGGGTCTTTCTTGATTCGGAGGTAGTCCTGCTTCAGGCGCTGGGTCGCGGTGGTGGGCGCTCTCTTGGTGCTGGTGCCACTCATCTGTTGAGGACAAACACCGACATTCACCAGGGACCAAAGACAGTCACCGCTGCCTCTCCCAGGAGCCCAGCACCCAGACGAGGCCTGGGGCCATCCTGCTGCACCCGCCCACCCACAGAGCTCCTCTCCTTTCCCGCCTGCTCTGCCGTAACCTTCATTTATGCGACGTCACGTGCAAAGACTTTTTTAAAAACCTACTCTAACTTCAAAGTCACAGGCGTCTGACGCCTGGACCTGACCCCGACTGTGCTCAGTGACAACGCGCCAAGGGACTGCTCACAGCACAGAACTCAGGGTGCACCCCAGACCAGCGGCTGTGAAGGCCACTGTCACACACCTCCCAGCATGTTTCCCACTGAGCATGGTGGGTGCGAGGGACAGGGCAGCAGAGCAAGAGCCTCCCCTGAGACTGGAGAGAGACAAGAGACCCTGGACCGACTCAGACGCGTGTGAGGGCAGAGGGCAAAGGACACCTTCCCGGAAGGAGGCAAAGGTGGACAGCCAGAGGCTCCAGGACCGCGCTGGGCCACCGTGTCAGGACAAGGCTGGCAGGAAGGTAAGGCCTGGCCGCCAGGCGGCAGTGGAGAAGGGTCTCAGCCTCCATCTTCAGGCACGTCGGGCCCTGTGTAGGAAAGGTCACTCTGGTGTCCCACGCGGGGTGGCTGGACAGCGTGAGCCAGACAGGATGGTGCAGGACAGACTGCAGGCTAGGGACCAGGAGCACAGCTAGGCCCCAGGGGCAGAAGGGTGGTGGTGGGGGTGGGGACAGGGAGCCTCACGCACCGCTCTACCCCGCCTGCTTCACACGCCGGAGTGTCTCAGAACGCAGGATGGGAAGGCAAGAGACTTGTGCTGCTAAAAAGAAAGTGTGAAGCCACTGGTCTAAGATGTAACAGTGACGGAGGACACGCAGGGGTGTGTAGGGACAGGGGAGGGGGCACCTGGGCCACAGTGGTGGCAGACTGGGTTTGGGCCACCGAGGAGGAGCCACACTCTGCCACCCAGCGTGCCGCAGCACTGGGTGTCAGGGGTCCGGCTCTCCACTCTGACCTCCCTGTCGGCACCTAGCTGATGTCACTCAGCCCCACCACGCCTACCCCCCTTTACCTCAGCCTCCGGCTTTTGGGCCCTTTTTTGACCCAAAGGTACAGCCAGACTCACTTCCCCCTGACCTCGATAGAGACGTGGCCCTTGCCCGCTGCCTGGTTGGATGCCCCTCACAGGGCTGTCCCCACCAGACAACGGCCAGGGCGATGCATGTGCTCTGCACCCCTGTACAGTGGGGCTCAGCCAGGACACACTCGCCCACCCTGGGTTCCAGCCCTGGAGTCCCTAAACTTCAGGTTCATGGTCCCCTCCCCCTTTCCGTTGCACCCCCGTGCAGGCTCCCCCACTGGCCTCCACGCCACAGACTTCAACCAGGTTCCGTTCCCTGCAACTCCCCCAGCGCCATGCGAGCGAACGTGGTCACTGCCCCAGCCTGCCAGGCTCCAGGAAGCAGTGCCAGCCGGACCCCAGGTCCCGCCCACCCTCCAAGGGCCCCAAGTTGCCGGGGCCCAAACTCCCTTCTCGCGCTCAGAGCACAGCCCGGTCCCCACTGGCGGGAAACTCACCAAGGCCCTTCCCAGTCCAGCTCGAAAACCAAGTCCCTCAAAAGCCTCCCTGATTTCCTGGCCTGGTGCCTCCGCACTGCCCTTCGCTGGCCTCCCCAAGACCCAGCTCCACACAACACGGGAGCCCGTCAGGCCCTGGCAGAGGCCGCACACTGGCCGGGGAAGGGAGAGCTTCCCACACAGCACCGCCCCAAGTGCACGGCCAGGCGGCCCGCCTCGGCCAACACCTAGTAACGAACACAGCAACGACCGGAGAGCGAGCCCCTACAGGGCTTGTTTTAAACGTGCACCCCAAAGCGCTCTGCCACACACACACCCCTGTCACTGCGTAACTCAAATACAATTGTGTCTGAAGCCAGGTAAGCGGCCAGGCTGGACGCACAATGCGTTAGCAGACAGCCACTCGAAATGAAACACAGCACGCCAGTCGGTCAGACTGCTCTCGTTCTTGCTTCCAAAGCTATGATCTCTAAAATCACATGTGACTCAACTACCCGACTCATACAAAGGAGTCCCTAACGACCCCTCCATTGCCTCACTCAGAACAGGGCTCCCGTGAGCTCTCCAGGTGATTCTAGGTGACAAAGCCGAGAATCTCTTCCGACTTCCCCCTCCAGACATGGTGTGTGGCACCTATACCTGTCACGGTGTCTCGGTTCCCTGCAAACCAAGCCCCACAGGGACAACACGTGAGGTCTACTGCAGTGCAGGAAAGTGTGCACGCTAAGAAACAGGGCGGGAAAAAACACATTAAAACCCAGAAGCTGAAAGGAAGCGGCCTGAGCCAAACCCTGAACACGAGTCCTTTCAGTCTGACGTTGAGACAGAGCTGTCTGCCCAGCACCCGGTCACCCTGCTCTGCATACGTGTAGTTCAGGTGACAGTAATGACATGAGAGCTGGGCCTGACCCGCCAGATGGGCGCGTGACACACCCAGGCCCAGGACGTGCACGAAAGTCTCCCTTCTCCACCAGGGCCCCACTGGCACCAAGGTCCAGCCGTGCGTGCAGTCTACACACTGGGCTTCTCCACTGAGACCCTCCAGTCCTTTCTGCGGAAGCCAGATCACACAAGGTTGCACTCCCTGGCACAAACGGAGCCTGTGCCACCGCAGTGCTGTGCGCTCGTGCACCTGTTAGCGCTGCTCCCGGGGAGCGGTGGCCTTACCCCCTTTGACTGTTTTGTGCAGGGCCTGCGAGTGGCTGGGAACTGGATTTGAATTACGACCAGCTAAATAGCATTAAATGAAAAAAACTGACGTTTATACCTGGCCAGAAGCTGAGACGATGCAAACAACTAGCACAGATGAGCAACTTGTCCAGGGCCCAAGCCCCACTCCAGCCGGCTGGCGGTGCAGTCACCCGACTCTGGCTTCCCACTCCTACCGCCTGAATTGTCTATCACCCCGAGGGGCAGAATTCCTGGCACACTCATTCCTGTTGGGGTTTAGGAAGCAGTTCGGGGTTCTAACTGTCCAGGGGTGAAGCGGCGGCGGGCTCAACGGCACCTACCGCACCCCAACGCGGGCTCCCAGGACACACACCAAGACTGCCGGCTCCTCCTGGACGCCCGCGGGTGTGCCACTAGCAGGAGGCCTTCCCGTAGGAGGCGCCCCCTGTGGCCGACCCAAGGCCCACGCTGGTCGCAGGACCACCCCGGCCC